CTCTGCCTCCCGAGTGCTGGGATTAAAGGCGTGCGCCACCAACGCCCGGCTACGAATCACTTTTTAAGAGCTCAGAAAGGGAGGGGGAACAAATATTGATAAACCATGGATACAGGTGAGACTATTCAGTGTGCATTGTATGTCCCTTTAAATTTTCTGTCGATTTGTTTTCAAATTAAGAAAATTGGAGAGGGGTCTAAAAGAAGGAAAGAAGAAGGGAATTCTGGTGATTCACTCTCTCATCAATCCCCTGTGCCCACAGGCTGAAAACTACGAATCTTCCCGATGTCTCTCTACTACCAATGATTTAGTCATTATATCATGAAAATACAGTCTTGGCGAATTAAATACTGTGAAAAGATTCAACATACTGGCATTTATGGGCAAGACTTTAAATGGACAGATATCCTTAGATTTAGCAAACTATTATTAGCTATCAAGAAGCAATTCTAGTCTTAATAAATTTGGAGAGGAAGTTTACCATCCAGCTAAACTACGACTATCAGTTTAGCTGGCTTTAGGAAGTACTCATTTATTTTGAATGAACTGTGAGATTTAAATGTTCAATATTAAAGATTTATTTATTTTTATTTTATGTGTGTGGTTGTTTTGCCTAAATGTATGTATGTGTATTACTTTTGTGTCTAATGCTGGAGAGGCCGGAGGAAGGCATCAGATCCCCTTGAACTGAACTTAACAGACAGTTGTGAGCTACCCTTTGGATGTTGAGAATCAAACTTGGGTCCTCTGGAAGAGCAGCCAGTATTCTTAATCACTGTGCCATCTCTCCAGCCCCACATGCTCAATTTTCTTAATTGCTATCACAAAAGTTCTTTGTTGGTTGATAACTGGTAATCAGCCTTCCCAATTGTTTAAAGATTAAAAAAGACCAGGCATGGTGGTGTATGTCTTTAATCCCAGAGCTCAGTAGCATCTCTGTGACTTTCAGACCAACCTGGTCTACTTAGGGACAATTTTAGGAGTCAATCTTCGTTGAAAATAATTCCAACTTCGTGCTTTTCATTGGATTATTTTATTTTTAATTGCATATTATTTAATGTGTAAGTTTTACATTGTATTTTCAAATTACTCGCCCCACACACATACATACTGGGTGCTGCTAATGGAGCCTTATGCATGCTAGGCAAATGTTTTACCACTGAACTGTATTCTTAGTCTAGTGTTTTCAATATTATTATAGTTTTAGGGAGAATATACATATGAATTTCCATATGTTAAATATAAATAATTTAAAAAGCCTGAGAAGATATATAAAAAATTATGTAGCTTTATACAGTGAAGAACCTAGGAGAAACTGGGTGAGTAGAAGGTAAAGGGAGTGAGGGAGACTTTCTAGGCCATTATATATTTTTATGGATGTGTCTTCACAAATATTTTCATATATTTATTGCTTACTTGAAATGTAAAAAAAAGTTACTGTTTTATTCACATCTCAATCTGTTTACAATAAATGTGTGTGGATATATAATTGACTGATCTAACTTGGTTATATGTTGAAATAATCAGGCTGTTTTATTATCTATAGATTTGTTTCTATTTTTTATATTTTGTTATTGATATTTTATGATGGAATTTAGAAAGTAATCTAGACTGATCTCCTTCCTTTCTCTTCTTGTATAAGAAATTGTCTATGCTCTGCATTGATCCTTTTCATCAGAAGTGAGAATTCTAGCCCAGATGTGATATAGTCTGCAAGGAACACGCCCATCTGGCAAACACTTCCTGGGGCCCTTCTATAAATGTTTTACACACACACACACACACACACACACACACACACACACATACACACACACACACACACAAAGCTAGGTGGGAGGCTGGGAAGTGTGGTCAGCTTCATTCTGGGCACATTACTCACTACATGTGCAATAACACGGCACTGCTGTTTGTATGAGCTGTGGGAGCCCTAGAGTGGCCACGTTTTTCCCAGGCAGCCATACTCTCTACTCCTTCATCTCATGGTGATCGTGACCTAACTGGGCCTCCTTTGCTCTACGAAGAAACAACAGCATCCTGACTTACCCCACAGCAGCCACAGCACTGGCAGTCTCCACAGATGGTTCCCAGGAGGCCATTGATCACCTGGATGGCACAGAGCACCATCTGGATCCCTCCAATGACCAGCAGAATGGAGAAGAGGGTCAGATTCCAGGGGACCACATCCTGGGGCTGTGTGCACTTGCTCCACAAGGCTTGGTCATTAAGATAATCACTGCAGGTGACAGGGACACAGGAGGAAAAAGTCATTTGTGAATGTGTGTGATTCCTTAGACTAGAAATTTGCCATTACCATTTCTCTTGTGCAGGACAAGCTCTGTGATAAAATACCACATAATAGCTGTAAAAATAACCCAAACATATCTCCCTGGGTACACCTTCCATGCAAGTTGCTGTCCTGGACACTTCACATCTTTACTTGTTGATTCTTCACAGAAACCCAGGACCCTTTTTCTTTCATTCTACAAACAAGGATGCTGAGGCATGGACACTTCACGTGACTTGTCCCAGTCGCAAACATACTAACAGCTTCCTCAGGCACCAGGCACACAGGGCACAGATGCACACACAGGGAAAATACCCATACACATAAAACAAAAACAAAATTTAAGAATAAATAGGGATTTAAAAGACAGCTCCACCATTAAGAGTTTGTACTGCTCTTGTAGAGGATCATAACCACCTATTAACTCTAGCTACCGGGGATCTAAAGCCTTCTTCTGGCCTCCACAGATACTGTACTCGTGCACACATTTCCACAACACACACACACACACACACACATACACACACACACACACACACATATATATATATATGTATAATCTTAAAAAAGGGCTGATTTTAAATAAGTTGTAAATGTGACTCAAATATATTTTTGTTAGCATATAGGAATTCCACACAGGAAAAGACTTAAATTTTGTATACACTTTTGAATCAAGAGACACTGTAGTGTTTCCATTTTATGTTACCTGTATTGAGAGAGCTTGTTACAATCTAAAGGTGAGATATCTTGAGGGAGAAATGAAAAGTATGGTCCCCTGGAGACAGTGGGTGGGAATTGTGAGGTCACAGGGCTTCTTACATGCTGACAATCACACATCGGCCCCTCCCTCTTCCTTTACTCTCTCCCACTTCCAGGGCCTCAGTGGGAAAGACCTTATTACTTTTGGGTCTTTGTGATGACCTCTGCTTCTTAGGAACTCTTGGGTGCACTGTACTCCTCCTCCAAACATTTTGGAAATTCTTCAAAATGACAGAAGAAGCCCTGAGGCTGAGAGAACAGAGGAAGAAAGAGAAGGAACTCCTTTGCATTTTTTATAAAGGTGTTGCATAATTGGGAACAGAACCCAGGGTAGAAGACTACTGGGTTAAGGGAGAAGTAAAGAAAGAAATTAAAGACTTACTAGAATTCAATGAAAGTGAATGTACAACATACCCAAACTTATGGGACACAATGAAAGCCATGCTAAGAGGAAAGTTCATAGCACTAAGTGTTTAACTGAAGAAATTGGTGAGATATCATGCTACCAACTTAACAGTCCACCTGAAAGCTCTAGAACAAAAAGAAGCAAGCATACCCAAGAGGAGCAGACAGCAGGAAATAATCAAACTGAGGGCTGAAATCAATAAAAATAGAAACAGAGAATAATACAAAGAATCAATGAAACAAAGAGTTGGTTCTTTGAAAAAAAAATCAACAATAGACAAATCCTTATCCAAACTAACTGAAAGGCAGAGAAAGAATGTCCAATTTAATAAAATTAGAAAGCAAAAGGGGGACATAACAACAGACATTGAGGAAACCCAAAGAATCATTAGGTCATATTTCAAAAATCTGTACTCCAAAAAAATTTGGAAAATCTAAGATAAATGAATTATTTTCTTAATAGATATCACTTACCAAAGTTACATCAAGATCAGATAAACAATTTAAATAGACCTATAACCCCTAAGGAAATAGAAGCAGTCATTAAAATCTCCCAACCAGAAACAACCCAGGGACAGAGGGTTTTAGTGCAGAATTCTATCAGTCTTTCAAAGAAGACCTAATACCAATACTCCTCAAATTATTCCACAAAATAAAAACAGAAGGAACATTGCCAAATTCATTCTCTGAGGCCATAGTCACTCTGAAACCTAAACCACATAAAGGTTCAACAAAAAAAGAGAATTACAGACCAATTCCCCTCATGAACGTTAATGCAACAACAACAGCAACAAAAAACTTAATAAAATATTTGCAAACCAAATCCAAGAACACATCAAAAAGATAATCCACCATTATCATGTAGGCTTCATCCCATAGATGCAGGGATGGTGCAATATATGGAAATCAGTCAATGTAATCTACCACATAAACAAACTGAAAGAAAAAAAAAAACACATGATCATCTCATTAGATGCTGAAAGAGCCTTTGACAAAATCCAGCACCCATTCATGATCAAGGTCTTGGAGAGATCAGGGATACAAGAGACATATTTAAACAAAATAAAGGCAATTTACAGCAAGCCGATAGCCAACCACAAATTAAGTGGAAACTCAAAGCAATTCCACTAAAATCAGAAACAAGACAAGGTTGTCTGCTATCTCCATATCTATTCAATATAGTACGCTAAGTGCTAGCTAGAACAATAAAGACAACTAAAGGAGATCAAGGGGATACAAATTGGAAAGGGAGAAGTCAAAGTTTCTCTATTTGCAGATGATACGATAATATACATAAGCAACCCCAAAAATTCTACCAGGGAACTCCTACATCTGATAAACACCTTTAGTCAAGTGGCAGGAAACAAGATTAACTTAAACAAATTAGTAGCCTTTCTATATACAAATGATAAATGGGCTGAGTAAGAAATCAGAGAAACAATACCCTCTACAATAGCCACAAATAATATAAAATATCTTGATGTAACTCTAACCAAGCAAGTGAAATACTTGTATGACAAAAACTTAAAGTCTTTGAAGAAATAAACTGGAGATGAGATCAGAAGATGGAAAGATCTCTCATGCTCATGGATTGGCAGGATTAATATAGTAAAAATGGCTGTTTTACCAAAAGCAATCTACATATTCAATGCAATCCCTATCAAAATCCCAGCACAATTATTTACAGACCTTGAAAGAACAATACTCAACTTTGTATGGAAAAACAAAAACCCAGGATAGCTAAAACAATCCTGCCCAATAAAATAATTTCTAGAGGCATGTCCATCCCTGACTTCAAGCTGTACTACAGAGCTATAGTAACAAAAACATCATGCTATTGGCATAAAACAAACAGGTGGACCAATGGGATCATACTGAAGACCCAGACATAAATCCACACATCTATGGACACCTGCTTTTTGACAAAGCAGCCAAAATTATACAATGGAAAAGGAAAGCATTTTCAACAAATGGTGCTGGTTTAATTGGATGTCAGCAAGTAGAAGAATGCAAATAGATCCGTATCTATCACCCTGCACAAAACTCAAATCTAAGAAGATCAAAGACCTTAACATAAAACTAGATACACCAAATCTGATAGAAGGGAAAGTGGGAAATAACCTCGAACACACTGGCACAGGAGACAACTTCCTGAATAGAGTATCAATAGCACAGGCACTAAGATGGACAATTAATAAATTGGACCTTATGAAACTAAAAAGCTTCTGTAAGGCAAAGGATACCATCAATAAGACAAAACAGCAGTTCATAGAATGGGAAAAGATCTTTACCAGCCCCACATCTGACATAAGGCTGATGTCCAAAATATATAAAGAATTCAAGAAACTAGGCATCAAAAAACCAAATAATCTGATTAAAAATGAGATATAGATCTAAATAGAGAATTCTCAGTAGAGGAATCTCAAATGACCAAGAAACATTTAAAGAAATCTTCAACATCCTTAGCCATCAGGGAAATGCAAATCAAAATGACTCTAAGATTCCATCTTACACCTGTCAGAATGGCTAAGATCAAAAACACAAGTGACCGCTCATGTTTGTGAGGATGTGGAACAAGGGGAACACTCCCCCACTGCTGGTAGGAGTGCAAACTTGTACAGCCACTTTGGAAACCAGTATGGCAGTTTATCAGAAAATTGGGAATTGATTTACCTCAAGACCCAGCTATACCACTCTTGGGCATAAACCTAAAGGATGCTTCATCATACCATAAGGACACCTGCTCAACGATGTTGATAGCAGCGTTATTCCTAATTGCCAGATACTGGAAACAATCTAGATGTTTCTCAACCAAAGAATGGATAAAGAAAATCTGGTACATTTTTACAATGGAGTATTACTCAGCTGTTAAAAACAAGGACATTAGGAATTTTTCTGGCAAATAGATGAAATTAGAATCATCTTGAGTGAGGCAACCCGGACCCAGAAAGACATTCACTCATGTATTTATCAATAAGTGGATATTATCTGTAAAGTAAAAGATAACCATCTTACAATTGACAGACCCAGAGAAGCTAAGTAACAAGGAGGGCTCAAGGTAGGATGCTACATTCTACCTGGGAAGGCGAAATAGAATAGATTTCATGGGTGGACTGGAGGGTGGTGATGGGAACAGGAGGGATCAGGTTGAGGGGGTGGAGGAGGAGAGTACTGAAAGAGATTACTGGAAAAAGAGGGTATTTTAGGGTGAGGTAGAAACCTAATGCAATGGAAACTCCCAGGGATCTACAATGGTGACCCCAGCTAAAATTTCTAGCAACAGGGGACACATAATCTGAACTGGCCATCTCCTGTGACCAGGCAAGACTTTCAGAGGAGGGACTGGGACACCAACCCAGCCACATAACCTTCAACCTACAATTTGTCCTGCCTACAAGATGTGCTGGGTAAAGGTGGTGCAGAGATTGTGGGGTGGCCAGCTGAAGACTGATCCAGCCTGACACTCATGACAGGAGAGGGAGTCCATCCCTGACCCTGCCTGGAGGGCCGGGACCCAGAGGTTAGATAGCCCAGAGACCTAGGATAGAACCAAACATGACTGGAAAAAAAAATCAATGTAATGATGACTAACGATATTCTGCTGTACATTGGTGCCTAGCCCAATGGTCATCAGAAAGGCCTCACCCCACAACTGATGTAAACAGATGCAGGGACCCACAGCCAAACATGAGGTGGATCTCAGAATATTTTGAAGGAGAGGGGAAGGAATGATTGTAGGAGCCAGAGGGGTCAAGGACACCACAAGAAAACCCACAGAATCAACTACCCTGAGTTAATAGGGACCCAGGGAGACTGAACTGATAATCAGGGAGTCTGCAGGGGACTGACCTAGGCACTCTGTATGTATGTTACAGTTGTGTAGCTTGATCTTCTTGTGGGTCTTCTAACAGTGGGAACAGGGACTGTCTCTAACTCTGTTACCTGCTTTGGGAACCTATTCCTCACACTGGGTTGTCTTGTTCAGTCTTAATACGAGGGGAGGTGCCTAGTCTTACTGCAACTTGGTATGCCATGTTTGGTTGATATCCATGAGAGGCCTGCCCTTTTTCTGAATAGAAATGCAGGAGGAATAGGGGAGCAGGAGGAGGTGTAGGAGGAAACTGGGAGGAGAGGAGGGAGGAGATACTGTTGCTGGGGATTAAAAAAAAAAAAAGGTGGTCTATAACTGGAGACAGGACCCAGGGCTTAGCACATGCTAGGCACTGTCACTGAGCTATGTCCAGCCCCGTTTTGTTCTTCATTTAGAAATGGGATGTTGTTCAAGCCTTCACCTTTGATAAGTGCAGAGGCTGCAGTGGCTTGCTGTGCAAATTTGTACTTCTCTGTAAACTGGATTTGAATAACATTATCAGGCACATTAGTGGATTATTGAGAGGCTTACATGTGCTGGTAAGATTAAGGCTTTTACAACAGTACATAGCAAGCAACCAATAAACACGAATGTCGTCATTATTTTACTTAGTCTATGGAAAGAGCTTTGGCATTATTGTGGTTTCAGATGAAGCTAGGCTTAAAGCTAGACTTCCTGCTTACTAGGTGGATGTTCCTTACTAAATTAGCTCCTTTTCCTTGGCATCAGTTTTGCTATCTGTGACATAATGAGAATTCAGACATAATACACCTCCTTCATAGCACTACATTTCCTTTATGTCAAGCACTCATTTGTCTGTAGTTTTTTCTCTCTTCACAGTTTTTTTTTGTTTTGTTTGTTTATTTTGAGGCAGGGTCTCTCTATGTAGTCCTGGCTCTCCTGGAACTGGCTACATAGGCTAGGCTGGCCTTGAACTCACGGAGATCCTCCTCCTCTGCATTCTGAGTGATGGGATTAAAGGCATGCACCCTCACATCCAGCCTTGTCTTTACCGTTCTTAAATGTGGTGACTACAAAGATTAAAACTGTACAATATTTTGCAGGCACGCTTTTGTAAAGAGCTTACGATGCTAAGGTGGAATAGTTGGCCCATGGTGGCTAGGCTTGTGGGACGCCTGCCTCTCACCATGTCCTCAGACTTTAGTCTCTCCATAAGCTCTCAGGTTCATAGAGATCCAGAGAACAGGTACAGTTTGAATGCTATATAACCTCTGGATGAGAGGGTCCTGGATTTTCTATGGACCTGGCAACTCATCGTGTATCCACACATGTGAGGCAAAGGGAGCTGAGGAAAGAGATGGGGACCCCTTGTGAGGCCAAGGCAGTGCCACCTCTTCAGGAGAAGTTCAGACTTCTCCTCCTGTGCTCAGGCAGGGATTTGGGAGTCGATGCAGTGGGGAGCAGGAGTGGGTTGGCACTCTTGTGCTCCAGGCTTCCCTCTCCCGAAGCCCTGCACCCACATGCTGCCACTGTCTGCCCATTTGCTCTTCTTCTCTTTAGGACCATATACCCCCAAGGGACGTCTCCACAACATTTGTTCCCACACCCAGCACAGGGAGTGTTCAGTGCATGAGTGGCTGTCACTGAGCTGGCCTTGATTGGCACTGGGGGTCCAGATCTTTCCTGTCATGAGGAGGTGTTGCCTGACATGTATTGCCTGCATAGAGGTAACCTAATCCGGGGTAATTTCTTCTTGTACAGTGAACAGAGATGGGAGAATTCCAAAATCTTGTCTCTTCCAATAAGGTTGCCTCTATGCTGTTTTCATTCTGAAATATCACCTGACACCTGACTAGTCACTGTGAGAAACAGACAGAGTGACATCAGATGAGAGCATGCACGAGAGTAAACCACCGGAAGCAGCTGGGAGGAGAATGGTGGAAAACAGGACTCCTCCGAAGCATGGGTACACAGCACTCTGAAACATGGTTTCCTGTTTTTACCTCAGTCAACATTTCCGGTGTTATCTACAGGGGCAATGGCCATTCTTCTGACCTTGTCATTGATTCCATTCCATTCCAAGCAGGGCATGAGTTTGCCTATTCCAGGGTAGTGTGAGCGGTCTTTCCCATCAGAACCTCTAGGCTACTGTATTGCTTTGGAGTGGTGCTTTGCCCCATTGTGTTTCCTTCTCTGCCCTTTGTCTTTGAAGGCTGATTGACATTAAGTGCATAGAGGGCAATGTTATTCACACAGCAGAACACAACAGGAAGCTATGGTTGACACTGCAAGACAGTGTTGATGGAAGTAATAGCAGAAGGGTCCTTCAGAAAGACATAACCCACTGCTTTCCTGACACCTACTAGGGGACGGACTGAGCTACTGACGAAACACCTCAAGAGAAGGCTCAGCGTGCTGATGTCTGAATTCTACATTCCTCAATCCAACCCTAAGGTGTTGGCGTCTCAACCATTCACTGCAAGGTATGAAGGTTTTCCATAGTAAAACAAACAAACAAAAAAACATCTTGGAGTCACTGCATATGATGTGCAGGTGATAGATCTGTGCTTGTTTAGTTGTGAGAATAGGATTGGGGTACTTGCTGCCTGTAAACACACCAAGACCATCAGGTCAGAGTCAGTGTCTCCCACCTCCCCAGTCTGAAGACAGTTCTCTAAGTTTCTAAGGATTGTATTGTAAATGAACGAACAGTAGTTTAAGTTAATACAGTCATCCCTCTGCATGTTCAGGTACCACATATGTAAAGTTGATCATAAATAACTGATAAAATTGCATCCATAATGAACATGTCATTGTTCTCCAAGCAAAATGGTGTATCAGCTGTTTGCATAGCATTTACATTGCATCAAGTATTATAAGCAATACGCAAATACTGTTATAAGTCTGTGCAAGGTACTTGTGCATCAATAACTACAGATGTCCTGGAGCCTCTGAAGATGCTGAAGGACAGCTGTTTATTGGTATACCACATAGTTATTTTTAATGGACCCATTCTCTATGTGCTAGAAGATCCAGCAGCCGTATTTCTTGACCCCCAAGGATGTTCAGCCACTGTGCAGAATAGAGGGTCTGAGATAATGAACAAATGAGAAGCGGTCCAAGCTTCTCAGAGGACAGAGTGTCGTTATCTAACAGAACATCTGCCACAATAGAAATGTCCTATATTTTTGCTATTCAGCACAGTAGCTACAAGCCACAAGCACATAGTGAGTACTTGAAATACGGCTGTGTAATTGTGGAATTTAATTAAATATTGCAGAATTCATGCATTCTGCTGAGACTGTCACCATGGTATTCTATGTAGCAGGAAGATTCTGCTTATGCTACTGAAGACTAGGAATCTAGATGTTCTACACTCTGGGCCCAGGCACACCCTTTGAGGACAAAACTATTAAATACAATCTGCTAGTGTTTGGTTGTGAGTTGTGACACAACAAATTTTTCTCTGAAAGCTAAGGTGGACTCTTCCTGTTATTTTTCTTGTGTTTGTCAAAAGGACAATCAGAGGTGAGGTCTATACAAATTCTCTTAAACTCAGAGTCATCTTTGCTTCGAGGGGCAACATGTTGAGAATACATAGCAAAGGGGCCATGACATCATGTTCATTGTACAGTGGAGGCTTACCCATTATGGAAGGGGTATCCCCATGTGCTGTTGCTCATGAGGCATTTAGGACCCCTGTTGATGGAGACAGCTGAGACGATAAATGAGTATCCAGCACCCAAGAATCCAATCACAGCAAACAGTGTGGAGGTGAACATCTGAAAGGGAGAAGAGATACCAAAGTTCTTAGGCTGTGCAGATTGCTTCTGCTTGGTTACACTGCTCAGCAAACCTGCCCAGCCTGATACTAATGATTGATGACCATAGGGTAGGAGTCATTTGTGATTACAGGTGGACTTATAGCTCTCTCAGATGAAACTTTGTGTCATGTTCCCTTTATTACTCCACTCCCATCTTTTCACTGCTGGACTGCGCCACGTCTTACCCAGACCCTGTAGCCTATCCCTTTATTTGTGAGTTACCCCACAAAATAAATCTCCCTTTTAACTACGTGGAGTGGCCTTAATAATTTCACCAATAGCCTTCTACCTACTACCCATGCAAATGTGTAGCACACCCACACCCTTACATATCCACACTCCATGGCTACCAATGTGGGACACTGTATTATTTTCAAATTTTCTTGTGAGTGAAATTGGTTTTCTCACAGACATAAAACAAAATTAAAATTAAAATAGCTTTCTGCTTACTTGATCTCCCAGTATTGGCCTATTCTAGCCAGAAATCATTAAACTTTTACTCACTGAATATATAGGAATCTTTGAATTGTATTAAAAAGGAGTTACATTTCCAGGAAAGGAGGTTGGTCTCTTAGGAAACCTGGTTGATACACTCTCAGCAGCACTGGATCAAACAAGAGTGGAGGGATCCACAGATCTAGTAGGAGGCCTCTTCAGCTAAAATAACCCAGGATTTCCACACCCAGCAGGTAATGAAAGGAAAAATTCAATTCATACTATTCCTTCTGAGAGTTCTGGGTAAAAGAGTTTAGGTACCCCATCTAAACATGTCACCAGGCACATGTCTGGTCATACACAAGGTGAGTCTTTACTGGAGATGCTGTAAGCAGTAGAATGTCCCCCCACCCTCTTCAAGATAGGGACGTCAGTAGCCCAGGCTGGTCTTGAACTGCCTATAGATTTTTATCACATTATAGTTATACAACCATTGTCAATACTTGTCATTAATTTGAAACTCTGATAGACTTGATACCACATCTTATTATTCAATGTGTTAGTATAAAAGCACTTCTGCTAACATTTCATTGGCTGTTTTAATATTTTTTGAACCCTTTAATGTAATGAATTTCCTTTAAAATCCAGGGAATGTTATTTTACGTATTTTTCAAAACTGGACACAATGATGCATACCTATAATTCATGATCCTGGAGGTGGAGGCAGGAGGATCAGAAATTCAAGGTCATACTTGGCTATATGTCAAGTTTAAACCAGCCTGGGATACATAAGACCCTGTCTAGAAAAAAAGGTAAAGATTATTTTGAGAGGGTGTTCATATATAATTTTCACCTAGACTGTAAGAGGATAATGGCAAAGAGTGAGTACAGAGGTAAACACATCCCCATTTAGGAAAATGAGAAGTCAGATTAACAAAACCATCAACAAGGGGATGGTGTTCCCTTTTATCAAAGCGTAACCATTTGAACTTCTCCTAGACCACCGCTGACTAATATTAATTTCATATATAATGTGAGTGTCTAGCTTAAAGAAAATACAGAAGATATTAACTTTAGCCTTGTACTTTGTTTAATTTTACATATTTAGTATGTTATCATTCCAACATTGTAATTAGAATAAAATATGTGTCTTTTTTGTATCAGTTCTTTGGAATACGGTCATAGTTTGCATAGATCAGGCACTCCCTACTTCCTCAGTAGACATACGTGGCTGCTATGTTGAAAAAACTTCATCTAGGTCATTTGAAATTTTTGGCAGTAAAATGTTTTAAAATTCATGGATCTGGTATTCGCGGACTTCATGGCAATACTTCCTCTCAAGAATGAAGGAAATGTGACACAGAGAGAAATGTAGTCATTCTTAAGTGAATAGATTGGGCTTTATTTTGCTATATAGTGTATCTGAAAAATAATGGGGCATGGGGTTACACTTTTAGAGGAGAGTGGTATGTTCTATTTTGAGTTCCAGTTTGAAATACCCCACCTTAAAAAGAAATAAAACAAACACTCTAATTTTCCTAATTGTCTAGAGCAGACAAATCACATCATGTTGCTTTAATTCATATCACATAAAAAAGTCCTAAAAAGTTGTCAAGTTCACTAGTTGGATACATTATCTTCTTTATTTTTATACAAGGTCTCACTATGAAGACAAGGCTGGCCTAGAACTCACAGAGATCCACCTGCATCTACTTCCCTATGCTGGGATAAAAGGCTAGTGCCACCACATCCAGCCAGATATGATCTGTCTTAAAACCAGCATAGGTTAAGTCCCATTTATCATAGGTTTTATGATAAAAATTTCTTTTATTAAATGGGAATTTACTGAGATCAAATTAAATATGTTAGGGTAGCCACTCCCAAACTGATAATATTTAAAGTGAATAGGCAAAAGATCAGGGACAGCTTCTGAGGTGGCGCCTCTTGAAAGCAGCTCTGCCTGCCAGATTTGGGAGTCCAGAATGGTAACGTTCATCCTAGCTTTTGCCCTGCAGCATGCTTTATCTCCCTGAAAGGAATAAATAGAAAAGAGGGACACTATTGTGTCATGATCACGGGTATGAGTTACAGGTAGCAGGAGCTGGCTCTAGGTCCTGGTTTCTCCCACATGACCTTGAGAAGTTAATCATTCTGCCTCGTTTCCTCTTCTATAAAACGAGGTTCAATAATAATAATTAATGAGTAAGGGAACCTGTTTAGTAGCGACTAGTGATTCCTCTAGAAGAACCAGATATTTCTCAGGTTTAAGTTGAGAGTGAGCTATTAAATAATACCCAGCATGCCACTCACTGATAAGACACCAGGGATCTTTTGTGCTTATTCTCAGGAAAATTTCTATGATGCTATAATACACTCAATACATGAAAATTAGTATGTAATAATTTATTATTATTATGCTGTAATATTTTATTGTTGTGCCCTCACCTTCCTTTCTACAAATACAAAATGCAAAAGTCTAGGGAGAAAAACAAAAGTAAATGGATTTCCTCTTAGAAATTTCAGAATTGTTTCAGAAATACATTCTGCAGTCAAATGCTCCACCACCGAGCTATCCCTCAACAAATACACTCTGCAGTCAAATGCTCTACTGCTGAGCTATATCCACAGACACATTCTGTTCACATTGCTAAACATGCATGTACACATTGCATGCTGTAAAAGCTTTTCTTGAAGCAGAGGATAAGAAAGTCCTGTAATCAGATACCATCTAACTCATGTCCACTTTATGACCTCCCTATCAGGGTCCTGGATTTCTTCACTTATAAAATGAGGACTTTATTGTGTAACTCAAAGGGCTTCTGTAAGGGTTAAGCCTGAGAAAGTATAAAAATCCCCTCTCATCCCTCCTGGTATTTTTTACTTTATTCGCCCGGCAATTATTTCCCCAGAGTTTATATGTCTTTGACGCCGAACATTCACCTGGGGTTTGGCTTCCTTTTTGTTACACTAATCAGGGCATTTTACTTTTTTGTTTTGTTTTTTCTTTAAATTTTTGATATGCTGGGGACGAAACCTAGTGGCATATGCATGGTAGATAAGCATTTTACTACTGAGTGTCATTCCTAGCCAAAGAAGATCATTTTTTGAAGAGTAGAGAACAGTAAAAAATGTAGATTCACACTTTAACTTCTTACTTTATGATAACACATCCTTTAAAAGTATTGCGTTTCTTGAGTTTCCACCAATCAACTGTTGGAAGAATAAAGAGCTAGATATCCAGGATCTGTCTGTAGGGGGCAGTGGTGAGCTGAGCACAGGAAGACGCACTGACTCAATTGCTCACAGATTGCCTTATGATGAGACCAAGATCTTCCTTCAAAAAGTCAACCACATTGCTCTGCCTGGGTGTGGACATCTGGATTTATTACCTGATAATGTTAAGAACGCTGAAATGTCTGCCTTGCCCCCAGCTATCTCCTTTATCAATCTACTTTTCATCCCATCATTAAAGACGCTTAACTTTGAGTCAAGTCCAAAGTTTCTAAATGGCCCTTTACTAAAGTGAACGAGTTGATAAAATTAGTGAGTTGTCCCACTGGGCCCTGAGAGATCAACATTTTCCAAACATTAAAGAGAGTACAGGGGGCAGTGACCACACAGACAACCACCAGTTAGAAGTCACTGAGACTCTTAGGCATGGGAAGATGGGGGTGTGACCTAAAAACAAACCCAGGTCAGGGCTTCAAAGGCCACCCTGAACGGTACCTGCTCTTACTGTTTTTCCTGGCTCACATTAGCCTAATTTATCTGAGAGAGTTCAGACCTGTGGGCTGAGCTTCTGTCTCCTCCCCTCACAGGGGCCTGTTGGGGGTTAGAGATGAGAGAGAGAGAGAGAGAGAGAGAGAGAGAGAGAGAGAGAGAGAGAGAGAGAGAGAGAGACAGAGAGAGACAGAGAGACAGAGAGAGAGAGACAGAGAGAGAGACAGACAGAGAGGAGGAGGAGGGAGGGGGAGGGAGATAAAGACAGAGAGACAGAAAGAGATGAAGAGGCAGAGAGAGACAGAGACAGACACACAGAGAGAGACAGAGAGGGAGGAAGGGAAGGAGGGAGACAGAGACAGAGACAGAGAGGGACAGAGAGACAGAGGCTGCCTAGCTCATTTTCTCAGATTTCCCAATGCAACTATGAATTAGGTAATTTCAAGGATGTTTATAGGTTACAAATTCACTTTATCTCCATAGCCACCTACCTTGCTTTTTATTACTGAGGGACAAGAATGGTGTAAGTTCAGTGAACATTTGGGGAATGTTCTAGAAAAACATAACAGTGCCAGTGGAGGTGGGGGAGACTGCCGCTCTGGCTTCTGCTGTGTTTGCTCATAGATCTTTCTGCTGGCAGGGCTTCTCAGGGCTCCACAGACAACTGGGGCAGTGTTTATTTGTAAGGAAATGCCTTAAGTATTTGCAAAAATAATTCAGATGGTTACCATCGTACTGTTTAAATGATGGTGCAGCTGTGTGTGTGTGTGTGTGTGTGTGTGTGTGTGTGTGTGTGTGTGTATTTCTGACAATATGTCTGTTAACTGCCCCACTTGGTGTCCCAGAGCCTCTGAACAGAAGGAGTATAGCTACAAAGCATGGGACTTGGACTATAAACATGGTCTTGGAGGGGAACTGGGACACTACCAGGTTCCAGCAAGCAACCAGTTTGGAACCCTAGAGCCATGTCAGCACAGGCCATACCAACATAGGATAGGCTATGGTTGTGCTGTGAGGCCAGTGATTCTAGGTTAATTTTTTTGTCATTTGAAAAGAAGTAAGACATACAGATGCATTTTGTCTGCTCATCATTGTTTAAAGAACAAAAGCATCCAAACCAAGAAACCGGGGTGTTGACTATCCAGCCACGGTGCCCTGGTCTCCAGTAGCTAAGCTTAAAGCCTTGGTTTCCAGTCTGCACAGCTGGTGGATAGGGTGTGGCCATCCTCAACCCTCTTCAAGGGCAGATCTCAATTGGAGGCCTCAGGAGCCCTGGTAGATGATATATATCGACCAGAACAAATATTTCAGAACAAGTTTGCTCAACTGTACTGGGAACAACACGAATTTCTTGCTGTACTCTTTACTTCATTTATATCTAATGAAATTAAAGTTTTGTATATAATACATTGAACACAGTTTCAGTTCTCACTGTATTTATAGAGAAACCCTGAAACACACAAGCAAGCCTGTGCACCTCTCAGCCTGCACGCTTATTGTCTTAGCAGCCAGTCATCATCTAGTTCTGCCCAGCATCAGAAATGCAAAGACAGACTTCTAAGATGTGTTTTTTCTTTATTTTCATTCAAATTCCTTAACTGCTATTTTTTCAAACCTTCATCTCCAACTTATCTTTCAAAGTTGACAAATTATAAATGGTCCAATGAAAAAAAATAAATTATATAGCACTTATTTTATAGTTAATCATATGAAAATATTATCAAGTATATACAACATTTGATACAATTATACTAAATGAATTGTTGCCATTTCTTACACTCTTCATAAATGATGATTTTAAATGCTGAAATGAAAATTTTCAGCACTTATGATGATTTTTAGAAGTGATATTCTATGAATGATATGATGCCATACAAAAAACTTCAGTGTATTATACAGAGCACAATGGTCTTTTGTGTGTGCTTGGTAAATACCTTCTTTTTTGAATAAATGGACAGATGATGGTGAGAAAGAAATGTCAACGTGGTTCTGTTTCAGAATGGGCAGATAGACTTTCAAGAATTTAAAGTGGGCTTAGGGGTCACCTTGATGGGAACACGAATCCTGGGAACCTGGAGCAGGAGCATCCTTGACTCTTCATCAAACCCAGGGGCTACCTTCATCATATTTTTCCTCATCATATACCTAAATGTTTAATAGTTTGTAAGCCAAGTGTTTTATTCATTTATATCACTATTTTGAAAGAAAAACTGAAATTGTTAAGCAAACATGAACAGAGCGCTATTAAATTTTAGTCACCCAATGTTGCTTGTGTTCCTTGTGTTGGATTGTTCTTCTTTGTTAGAAGGGAGGTTTGATGGTTTAGAAACAGAAAAGACTTATCCCCATCAAAATAAGACTTTCTTTTCTTTACAGAATGAAAACAACTGGAAGATAAGTGAAAGAAAACATTCTTTGTTGTTTGGACACACATATCTATGTACCAAGGTTTGTTCCATATCTAGGGAATTCTGATCCGGTCCAACCTGCTTATCTTACGGTTGTTGACTTGCCCAGTTGCAGAAATGGGACCTGACCTGCATGCCGGCATTCCTTATGCTCCCCCGGGGAACATCTATGCCTCCCTAGTCTCCAGTTGACCAACTAAAAGATGGGTGGCCACATGAAGCAGGAGAGGAAGCTGAAATCCTGAGGCAGATTCTGGGTGGCAGTGCAAAATGCTGGGCCTCCAGAAATAGTGCCCTTGGCTGTGGTAAAGAAGGGAGCTTAGGGAGCAATTAGGGAGGGGAGATATGGCATCTTTTATACTGCCCCAGGTCTCCTTTAATGATGAGGCAACTCAGGGTCAGAAGAAAGATATGATTTGTTCAAGTTCTCCTGGCTTCTTAGTGGCATAGGGAAGCCTGTGGCCCCACCTCTGCCTTTTTTTATGTGGCGTCACTCCAGTTCCAAAGCTCTAACATTGCTGGGTACTTGTAAAACGCAATGTCTCTATACCTCTGAGTAGGAAGGTTGTGGAATTTAATATATTTATTCTTATTATTCTGTACCAGTGAGAATCAGAGCTTAATCCTGTACCCGATGTCCCAGGAGTCTTGGTTGGGGCTGGTCACTTGTTCGTCACACCCGTGCTGCCCAGCATAAGCCAGCAGTGAACCCCAGAGCGATTCTGGCGACTGACCCCATGACAACTCACCGCAAATCGCTTCCCGCAGCCCTCATTGCCACAGCATCCACAGCAGTCATTGTTTTTCAGGCCCAGGAACACCATCGCTGGGAAGATCATCTGTCAGCAAGAGAAGTGCTCAGAGTGTCTGGGGTGGAAGGGAAGCCCGAACTTCTTTCTGGCCAGTGGATACCTCAGATTTCAGCGCGTAAGGAAGCAGGCAAGACCTGACAGCTCTCACGCCTCACGGGTAGATAGGTAGTTTTGAGTATGGGGGTTCTATTTGGCCTGACCGACCAACTTGTGTGAGGAGATTTTAAGAGCGGGCATCTCAAGTTTTCATTTAAAGGGTGGGTTAGGGCAAGGAAAAGAGTCTTGGTGTCATACTACAACCTGGAGCTCCCACCCATATTGGAAACAAGGGGTAAAGAAGTAAAGAAACGGTGAGGTCTTGACTGAGAGCTAAGCAACAACTCCTGCACCTCTGCATTCTAACTCAGTCCATTTACAGAAAGCACTGTGTTCTGTTCATAATTCTTATTGGCACTATTTTATTGGAGTAAAGCAATCAAATGGATGTTAACTTGCTTCTCTGGTCTCAAATGTCCTATGATGATTCCAGCCCAAGCTTGGGGATGAACCACTTTAATAAACCAAGGTGTCCCCAGCCACTAATAGGAAGGGGAAGCATATTAAGCCACTACTTTTCAGTTCATAAAAGTTGTTGGTTGTGGAATGGTATCCCAGGTACTAAGAACCTAATGGAAAAGGGTGGGAGCAGGGGAATTCTCTTTTATGGGAAGATTAACATTTCTCTACTCACCAAGACTCCGCTCCCCAGGATTCCTCCGAAGTACCAGACCTCTTCTGAAAGGTGGTTGTTGTCATCTATCACCTTTCCTCCGGGGAAGAACAGCAGGATATTCGCCAGGAGGCCAAACACAGCCAGGGGAATGAGGGTGCCCCCCAGGCACTTGGCACAGCCCCCAGTGCACATGCTGGGGTGGCAAAGTAAAGCACAGAGATCAAAGGCTCCTCACCACCTGCTTCACGGGTCTCCACAGAGGTCTTGGCAGCGCGTTTCAGTCGCTGTACTAGGTTCAGTAAGAAATTTGGGACCAAGTGTCAGAGCTCTTTGAACCGTGTCCTTGGAGTCTATTCACTTCCCAGCTACAGCAGGCCCTCAATGGCGATGGGCATTTATATCCCTGACCTGACGTCTTTTTTTTTTTTCACCCCCATAAATGAGATTACGTTCTGTGCAATCGTTCAATTGTTTTGCCATGGTGACCAATAACCTCTGTTAATAATCCACCAGCACAGACAAGACACTCAAGTGGTTGCAACCGAAGAGAAGGCTGGGGCAGGCAGTGTGTAGCACTGTTCCTTTAATATCTCCATGTCCCTGCCCAAATAAAGAAGTATTCCCCCAGGCACCACATAAATCGCTCTCATAATCCACTAACATCCTGATTAATGTTATGCCTCCCAAGCACTGAACGATCTGCCTGCCTCTTCTTTGGTCTTGTTCACAGAAAGCCTGAAACACAGGCTTATCCAGAAGGGCTTGTCTTCCTCAATACAGAAGTAATTGGATGGCCTAATTGAATAATGCTGAATTCAGGCCTGGGCTTTTTTAAAGGATAAAATCGGAACAGCTACTTATTCTATTGCCCGGCTGCTGTATTTCTTTACTTGTTTACTCAACTAGGTAATTAAATTCTGTCTTCTTCCCGACATGCCATGGAATTAACAAAAACAGTTTTCCTAGTCGGGCTGTTTAGTTCCTTTTATACAGGAATAGAAACCCGTGTCTAAAGAGCAAGGCAAGTGAGCGCTAGAGGAAGAAAGACGGAGGGGACATGGAGTAAACAGCAGTTACAATGTGGGGGAGGTAAAACAAGCCATACTGGAAGTCTTATTAACTTCCAAGAGCACAATTCAGTTATTAGCTTGCTTTGTGTCGCTTGAAATGTCTTAGCCACACTTCGACCAGCTTCACACGATGCATTGATGTGTGATGGAGCACTGACTTGCCCTGGTACCATGTGATAGAGAATTGACTTGCCCTGGTACTGTGTGATGGAGCATTTGAAAGAACCTAGCAGACACCATAACAGGCTGCTGAGTCTTCTCTCAGAGATCAGGCCTCAGTTTCAGTTTCCTGAGGCTTGAGCAAGCAGTTTCCAGGAGGGCCATGAACAAAAGACACAGTCCTTGTAGTACCTCTCTTTCTGCATGTACTCTCACCACTCAAGGTTCAGTCAATTGTTTACTTTCTGGGACCCCTCACCAACTTAGAGCTACATGTATGAGTCAAGGACAGAGCCTGGGCCACTGAGTCAGTCCCAGTCAGAATGTGCTAGGCCAGCCAGCCTCCATGGAAGCTCAAGGACAGAGCCTGGGACTTGTCTAGGTCTGCCCCCAAAAAACGATAACTGTAACCCCCAACCAGTAAATTCAAAGGTTACACACCCTCATCTGATCATATGATGCAAAGGCATGTGCCACCCTGCTTGTGGTTTTTCCCTTTAAAAATCCCTCACCAGGAGAGCTCAGGGCCATCCTCCTCCACCCACTGTGTTGGAATGTTGGACACAGACCAAGCCTGGGCTTGCTTGTTATCAGTAAACCCCTGTGTGTTTTTCGTGGGATATCAGCTCTGTGGTGGTCTTGCTGGGGGGTGGTCTCTTGACACTGGCACAACCGTTGACTTGCCCTTGTACTGTGTGATGGAGCATTGACTTGTCCTGATACTGTGTGATAGAGCACTGACTTGTCCTGGTACTGTGTGATGGAGCATTGGCTTGTCCTGGTACTGTGTGATGGAGCATTGGCTTGTCCTGGTACTGTGTGATGGAGCATTGACTTGTCCTGGTACTGTGTGATGGAGCATTGACTTGCTCTGGTACTGTGTGATGGAACATTGGCTTGTCCTGGTACTGTGTGGTGGAGCATTGACTTGTCCTGGTACTGTGTGATGGAGCATTGACTTGCTCTGGTACTGTGTGATGGAGCATTGGCTTGTCCTGGTACTGTGTGATGGAACATTGACTTTTCCTGGTACTGTGTGATGGAGCATTGACTTTTCCTAGTACTGTGTGATGGAGCATTGACTTGTCCTGGTACTATGTGATGGAGCATTGACTTGCTCTGGTACTGTGTGATGGAGCATTGGCTTGTCCTGGTACTGTGTGATGGAACATTGACTTTTCCTGGTACTGTGTGATGGAGCATTGACTTTTCCTAGTACTGTGTGATGGAGCATTGACTTGTCCTGGTACTGTGTGATGGAGCATTGACTTGTCCTGGTACTGTGTGATGGAGCATTGGCTTGTCCTGGTACTGTGTGATGGAGCATTGGCTTGTCCTGGTACGGTGTGATGGAACATTGACTTTTCCTGGTACCTTGTGATGGAGCATTGACTTGTCCTGGTACTGTGTGATGGAGCATTGACTTGTCCTGGTACTGTGTGATGGAACAGCTAAAGGACTACAGGAGGGGAATGGGTCTTTCTAGCTCTTCACTGACAGTCTAGGAGTCAAAACTCAGGACAATAAGTCTCTGGGACCACTGGCTAGGGAAGCTGGCAGTGGGAAGGATTGTGGAAGGGTAGACATTGAGGTTCTTTCAGAAGAGTCTAGGAAATGTGCCTTGATTGTTCTGTATATACACTGAGAGAACTCAGGGTCAGTGTGAGATTAAAAAAAAACAAACAAACATAAAAGGAAGGGTTAACTGAAGATCTGCTAACTCTCAAGTACAGATGAATACTTTTAATGCTCCTTACTATCCAGACTACCATGTTCCATCTAGCTCAAACATGCTTAATGAATTCTTTAAAGTCATACCAGTGGAAAAAGATGAACCAATGCTGTGTGTGTGCATGCCTCTCTCTCTCTCTCTCTCTCTCTCTCTCTCTCTCTCTCTCTCTCTCTCTCTCTCTGTGTGTGTGTGTGTGTGTGTGTGCATGTATGTTTATGTGTGTGTGTATGTGTGCCCATGTGGAAATCCAAGGAAGAAGTGGAGTGTCATGCTCTATCATTCTGCATCTTATTCCCGTACCACATGTTCTCTCTCTGAATATGAATCTGGAGTTGTCTGATTTTTCTGATAGGCCAGTTGTCCAGCAAGTCCCAGTGATCCATCTGTCTCCAGCAGTCTCAGTCACACTTAGACCCATTTCTGGATGATGGATTGATTGTGCTTGCCCTACCCCTACCTCTGAGTGCTGGGGTTATTGGCACCAGTGGTCATGCCAGGGTTTTAGTTGGGTGTTGAGAATCCAAACCTAGGTCTTCATGTGTCTGCAGCAAGCAGTCCTACACAGTATTGCTAGACCCTTGCTTAAAGGTCTATTGTTTACTCTTTGTCCCACTGGGATATCAGTAAAGAACGGTTGAGAAGACAGAGTCCTATTCTGTAGCCAGTCCTCTGGGAAGAACTGACTCAGAAATCAGAGGAGATGATAGATTTAGAAGAAATGGAAGATGGTGAGTGGGGAATTTTTGAAGGAAGAAAGGGAAAGAATAGTAAAATAGCAGTATTCTCCTGGGCCTCCCATGACTCGAGTTTTGATGACAGGGTCTTCTGCATCATGATGTCCAAGGGTTTCCTTCCATTAGATTGGGTCCAGAGCCAACAGAACAGGGGTTCTCTGGCCTCTAGTACTGAAGGAGGTGTGCAAGGTGAAGCTGCTTAACTTGCTAAACCTTACCACACAACACACAGAGAACAGCCCATTCAGTTCAATGGAGGGAAGTCAATCAATATGTATGATGTCCCAGGATATATCCATCTATGTGCCCACATAGTAGCCTGCCCTTGAAAACTAAGACTTGCTTTCTGCCTTGTACACAGTAAAATGCCCGTTAGCAGCAAAGCAAGCAATATCTTTGGCTTGCTAGAATTCACCGAGCATAGGGGGAAAAGACGAGGAGGGATTCCACACATTTGCATTCAGGTTTTGTACATTTTATACATTTCATGTCAGCAACTTTGCTCACCTTGGAAGAGGCTACTTCCAATAAAACTAATTTTCCAAGGTCCCATGAAGATTCCAGAAAAGTGATAGAAAGTATCAGTGAGGGGCCGAGAAGCTGGGTTAGGCAGGTGATCCAGCTTTGCTGAGGGGCTGGCAGGTGTTAGCATGGTTCAGCTGCCAGAGGGAAATGGAGGAGCATCTGGGGTCTAGTCTATGCTGAAGAACTAGGAGACTGGTATATGGACCACATCCAAGATAAGATCTAAACCCAGTCAACATCCTGTGGGGACAATCTTCCCTTCTTCTTCCTTTTCTTCTCTATTCACCTCTTCTATCTGATATCTCTCCAGGACTCTTATCAGCCATCACTGCTTTCAAGACACTTTGTTCCATAAGAATACAACATACTTGGTATTATTAACTAGGCCCCAAACCCGTGGCTGAATATCATAAGCTCTAGGGGATAACCTACTATTGTTATTATGCTAAATAGTAGATGTAGTAATAAACTTCCCAAGTTCTTGTCTTTATACCATAGACTAGTGCATCATTTAGCTTGAATCAGAGAAGCTTCCTTTGCAGTAGATGACAATTAATAAAGAGACCAACAACTAGTCACCGTGCAGAGAGTAAGAGACTGTGAAGTGCTCTGCTCTGAGTGGGAAGTCTGTGCAATGTTCAGAGATGATGGGAGAAGAAGCGAGAGGAAAGACCACAAAGGCAAGAGGCAATGATGTGTGCAGTGAAACCGTATTTGCTGGACATGACAGTGTTATTGCACACAGGAACTCACAGAAGCTGGGACCACGTGCACACAATGAAGCCATACAAATTTCCAGCTCAGATAGAATGGGGCTCACAAAGCCCTGCAGCTAGCTGAGGAGCTATTGGCAAGTAACGGCTGCAGGGGGGGCGGGGGAACCTGTTTTCTTCTGGGATTTGGCCTCTGAGAGGCTATCCATGCTTCAGTATATAGTCCTACACCAATGCACATACAGGGATCACTAAGTTGACACTCTTCATTTGTTTGAATTCTTTCAAGACAGGGTCTTTGTATGTAGCCCTGGCTGGCCTGGAACTTGCTCTCTGTAGACCAGGCTAGCCTCCGATTCACAGAGATCCACTTGCTTCTGCCTCTTGAGTGATAGGATTAATAGTGTGCACCACCATGCCCGGCCTGACTATGTGTTTTGTTTTGTTTCCTAAAGAGCACATAAAATTGGGAGGAAAAAGTAGTTGGGTGTGGAAGGTGGGGTGGGA